CAGGAGACTGAGGGCCCACGGTGGCCCAAGGACACACAAACCAGGAGTAAGGATGAACAACAAGTGTGGTGTCTACGAATGACCGTGGGGGAGGGTCAGAAAGGAAGCCAATGTGAACAGAGAAGTGTAAAAACTCAGAGACCCGAAATGGCAACAGGGAAGAGGCAGCCAAGTTCTCTCACCAAGTCTCGCCTCCTTCAGGAAGCCTTCCTCGACTGCCCAAGTGCACGGTGTGCACTCCTCTAAATTTCTTCTGCTTGTCTCCACTCGCTTCTCCCAAGCTGAATTCTACTTCTGTGGCTCAGCTGTAAATTTGCTGAAAGCAAGGAAGATCTCTATCTATCCACCTGCGTTTTCTGCCTAATGCACAACAGAGATTCAAGACCTCTCTTTGGCCAAGGCAGGCTCTCCTGGGCCTAAATAGCCTGGTTCCATTCCCTCGTTCTTTCAGACACAACCTCCAGGTACCTCCCTCTGGCCTCCGAACACTTTCCTCTTGACTTGGTCAATGTCAGCCCCGGGCCCCTGGCTTACACCCGTAATATCTCGTATCTGTAGAGGTGAGCTCACGGGAACAGGGCCCAGGAGTGAATATGACCCCACAAAGATGTCCCCATTCTAATCCCTGAAACCCAAGAACCTGGAACCATAAATGGCAAAAAGGACCTTGCAGGGGCAGGCAAGTCACGGCCCTGAGGTGGGGGTGACCCTGGGTCCCCGGCATCCTCACGAGGTCCTCACAAGAGGGAGGCAGAGTGTGGGAGTCCCAGAGATGGGCGGACCTCGCGCTGCTGGTGGTGAGGATGGAGGAGGGGCCGTGGGCCAGGAAAAGGCACGAGCCGGGTCTCCCTGGGGTCCCCAGGGGAACACAACTCTCCATTTCATACTTAGAAAAATACTTAATGATTTATATACTTATTTAAAAAAAAAAGAGAAAAGTGACGGAGAAGCAGAGAGGAGTGGGGGAAAAAATCTCAAGCAGACTCTGCACTGAGTGCAGAGCCTGGTGCAGGGCTTGATCTCACAACGCTGAGAACACAATCTGACCCGAAATCAAGAGTCGAACAGTTAGCCAACTGAGCCCCCCTTTTATACTTCTGACCTCAGGAACTGCACGGTAATACACTTGTATCATTTCAACCACTGACTCTGTGGTGCTTGGCTACAGCGGGAAAGGAAGACATCAGGGGCAGGCCAGCTCTGCCGTGGACCTGCAGTGGGACTCGGAGTCACCCCTAACTCTGCAGGAATCCAGACCTCTCCCTGGCTTGGTTCTTGTTCTTGAGGAGCATATGAAGCCCTCACACCTGGGAACCAGCAAAGCGACCTTCCAGATGGCTGCTCAATCAGGAACTTATACCCATCACGGGGTCAGACTTTTTATTACACGAGTCCACCTAGAGCTGCCAACTTTTAAAGTTTTGTGAGACAAAGCGTGAGAGACAAGCATTGTCAACTGTGGCATGCACCCTGTGAAAAAAAATCTTTCATCCTAAAAAAAAAGACCATGATACCAGGACAGCCCCGGCCAGGAATGCCAGTGTGCCACCTGTGCCATCGTCCACGAGACCAAGGAACACTGCACCCCAACACCCACGGGGGCCTGCAGCCGCAGTCTACCCAGAGCTCTGCGGTGCCCACTGCCAGACCTGGCCACAGGCTCCTTGGCGGAGGCCAAGCCCTGCCTGCACCTGCTGGTGAAGCACCTGACTTTCCCTGCAGAAGACTCAAGGTTTCTGGGTGAAGGGACAGAAACTCCCATGGGGGAGGGGGAGGGACGCTACCAGCCCTCTGGCCTCCACCAGCAGCATAGATGCGCAGCAGGGATGGGGGCCCGGGAGATCTCTTTCCCACAGGTCCCGAGTGACTTACAGGCCTCCATGGAGAGACAACACTTACTTCTCAAGGCTGTTACAGGAGAGTGTTCACCTGAACAACGAAAACTGGGTGCTTCTGGGGGTAGGCGTGTGCTCTGATCAAGTCAGCAGCCAACCAACGGGTGGATGACATCCTGCTCAGTGTCACCAGCGAAACCACGGTGGGAAGCCACCTCACTCAGATCAGAGTGGCTGTTCTCAAGAAGAAAACAAAGGCAGCGCATGCTCCCCAGTCCGACCAGGGCTCGGGGGGGACCTGCGTGCTCCCCTGTGAAGCAGGCGCTGACAGCTCCAGGGTCCAGGACAGAGACATACCCTCACTTCCTGTCGCCTGTTGTATGGGTGACATCTCCAGAACACCCCCACTGTCCCCAAGGAAGGTAAAACTACAAGAGTAACTCAGAAGGCAACAATGTTAACAGAGCCAAGAGTTCCCACCAGTTTGGTGAGGAGCCCAGTTCCTTCTTAACCAGCAGGAGAAACCCTTCGAATGCTGGTGGCTGGCTGGGGAAAAGGCACCAAACGTGTCGCAAAAAGGGCCCACGGAGAGAGTGACGGGCTCAGGGAGACCGAACTCAAACGCCGACCTGGTCACCAAGGTAGAGGGAAACCAGTAAGCACTGGAGACCCAAGCTGCCCGTTACTGGCAGACCACTGCACACAGCATCCTTGTCCCCCTAGGAGAGCTCACCCCCAACAGGAGATCATGGGCCCAGGGGCCCTTGACTGGCTGCTTGGGTAGGTTGTAGTTTTATTCTCAGAAGAACCAGAACGAAGGGCCCACTCCACTTACAGGGGCAGGGACAACGGGAGAGAGTCGGAGAGTCGGGGAGTGGAATGAAGGCCAGGCTGAAAAGAGGGAATTCCATCAAAACCTGTGCTTCCCCCACACGTTGCCCAGAAAGTCCAGCTGGAGGCCCACAGCCCAGCCCAGGGGTACAGCAAGAGCGCCAGAGACGGTATTCTCAGACACTGACAGCTGGGGTCCTCCACACCCCAAAGAAAACAGCAGCGTCTCCCCCAGGCTCGCTGGGCAGTGAGGTTCACTAGGTGAGAAGCGGGGAACTCACACACACACACACACACACACACAGACATGAAGAATTCCACACAACGCCCCCCTCCACCATGTTAGTGTCCTCCTTAATTACTGGGGAAGTTACTACACCACCAAAGCAGAACAGCACACCAGGTGTTATCAAGACGAGTTAAAACCAGAGCAAAAAAAAAAAACCTTTGGAAAGTAAAGATAGGACGATCCAAACAAAAAGCTAAATGTGAGAGCTTGAAGGTCCAAGTTTAATAAGTCTTTTAGAAAGGAGAAGAGGGGCGCCTGGGTGGCTCGGTCGTTAAACGTCTGCCTTCGGCTCAGGTCATGATCCCAGGGTCCTGGGATCGAGCCCCACATTGGGATTCCTGCTTGTCAAGAAGCCTGCTTCTCCCTCTCCCACTCCCCCTGCTTGTGTTCCCTCTCTCTGCCTCTGTCAAATAAATAAATAAAATCTTAAAAAAAAAAAAGAGAAGAAAAAAGGGAAAAATAAAAGAAGAAAACCTAAACGAAATCTTGGAGCAAGAACAGCAAGAAGCGTGGAAAGTATCATCACAGAAATACAAGAGTGTTCCCCCAAAAAGGGAAATAACCCAGGGCTGAGGACATCTCCTCGTTCCGACAGAAGCACGTGAAACGCCTGTCAATAAAAACAGTCGGGAAAGTTTACCCCACCCAGAAAAAACTTTAGTTTCTAGCAAAGAAAGAAAAAGACCAGGAACAAAAGGTGGGGAAACCAGGAGGGAATCCGATTTTTCGGAAGAGCACTGACGGGTTTTGTACCCCAACTCCTGGTCATTCGGGGTCACAGACAACCCAGGGCTCAAACTCAGTCAGCCGAGGTCTTCGAAAGCCACCCCGCGAGGATCCCGACAGCACCAGGGAGAAGGAACACACGGCCAGACGGAGCGCGGCAGCCCACCCCGGGCGCAGCCCGCCGAGTTCCAGACAACCGCTCGCCCGCCCCGCGAGCAACCCGCGCAGACCGGGGCAGGCGTGGCGGCCTCCGAGCGCGCCGTTCTGTGCTGGCGGCAGGGGCGGAGCGCGGAGAGGACGGGGAAGCCGTCCGTCCGTTCGAACTAGCAAAGCCGGGGCGACATACGACGCACCGGAGAGCTTCGAGGGGCCGAGCACTACCGGGCCCGCGAAACCGGGCTACCGGCAAAGCGGAGACGCTGGTCTCGCGGGCGGGAAGCGCAGCACGCGAGTGAACCCCGACGGGGTCCCGCTGACACCGGCGCAGGGCCCGCCCTGAGCACACAGGGGAGGCGGCCGCGGGCAAGGCACCCCGGCGCCGGGCCTCACCCACCCCCTCCTCGGGGACGCCCCAGCGGCGGGCACCGCGGCCCCCGCGCACCGCCACCCCGACCCGACCCCGCCGGCAGCCCGCCAGACTCCCGAGGCGGCGGGACTCGTCTGGCCCGCCCGGAGCGCGGCCCGTGGGCGCCGCCCGGCCCTCAACCCGCGCCCCCGCCACAGACGCCCGTGGCCCACGTCCGCTGCGGGCCGGGTAAGCCAGGGTCCCGGGGCCGCCGCCCTCGGCCCGCGCCGCTCCTCACCCCGCGCGGCTCCTCACCCCGCGCCCGCCGCTGCCACGAATACGTTATACGCACGCGCATCGCGTGCTAAGGGAGCACTTCCGGGGGCAACGCGGGGAGGGGGTTGGGGAAACGGCCTCTCATGTGCGCATGCCCGCTCCGCCCGACGAGGGGGACAGAGGCGCCGGAGGCGCGAGGAAAGGGGGAGGGGCTGAGAAGGCCGGAACTCGAAGTGCGCGTGCGCACCAGGCTCTCAACGCCTAACTCGCGCGGGGTCAGTTCTCACCGGGGGCCCGGCTTCCGCTCGTCGGTAAAGGGCGCCACCGACCGTGAGGGTACCTTCCTCTCTTCCCACCCCGGATCCAGCTTATTGATGATTATCTATAACGACCGTCTGTGTCGTCTATTATCGCGTGCGCCCCACGCGGGCTTCGCTAAGCGCCGAGGCCCCGCCGGACGCCAGCGGCGCGCGCCGGCGATCCACAGGATGCGTGGCTCGGCGGCGCGCAAGCGCAGTGGCTGCGGTAGCGCTTCCGGGACGGCGCTGTGGGACTTTTTTGGCGCGAGTGGGGACGGCGGCCGGGAGGGCGCGGTCAGCGCTCCGCGTTTTGGGTCCTGGCCGCGCCATGCGCTACAACGAGAAGGAGCTGCAGGCGCTGTCTCGGCAACCGGCCGAGCTGGCGGCCGAGCTGGGCATGCGGGGCCCCAAGAAGGGGAGCGGTGAGCGGGCTGGGGCGCCGGGGAGGGCGGGCGGGCCGGGCGGGCGGGGGTGAGCGGCCGCCGAGCCCGCGTGAGCCCGCCCTGTGCCCGCAGTGCTGAAGCGGCGGCTGGTGAAGTTGGTGGTCAACTTCCTCTTCTACTTCCGGACGGACGAGGCCGAGGTAGGCCGACGGCCCGGGGTCGGGGGCCGGGGCTC